GAACATATCGCTACGTAGGTACTTATTGAGTATCCCAAATAAATTATGTTATATTTAATTTCTTTTCAAATTGAGCCGTGAAATCCAAGGAAGCAATTAGCAAGCCGAAGCGAATAAGTTTGTAGACTTTTTAAAACGTTAGAAATGACGCAAGTAAAACAAAGAACTCATTGTTACGTTGAAAACGAATCGTACATACGAAATCATTAAAACAGTTAGCGTAGCATCTGAAAAAACTACCGGAGTTTTTTTTATGGAATTAATTAAGAAAATGTTGAAAGAAAAAACGGCGTTCTAAATTAAACAGTTTCAAAATTTCTGTGCTATGAGTGGAGCTTTGGTTATATTGTATACTAGCTGAGCCGTCAGACTTCGTAGTGCCTCAATCGATAAATAAAATACCTAAACTTTTATATAAAATAAACTTAAAACAAACAAAAGGAATCCGTCCCACGGGGGTCACACACGGGTCACACATTAAAGGAAAAACAAAATTGTTATTTTTATTTAATTCCGAGTATTTTCTTAATTATCTACCTTTTAAACCTTCTCTGGACTTCCACAAATAATTCAAGACCAAAATTAGCCAAATCGGTCCAGCCGTTCTCGAGTTTTAGCGAGACTAACGAACAGCAATTCATTTTTATATACCTATATATAGATAATCAAAGGAGTGGAGAATGGAGTATGAATTTACAGTGCTATGAGTGAAGACAAAAAAAAAAGGATATCTAGGTCAATCAACAAACTTATGACAAAGGCATTATTCTAATGCAAAGATTAAATTTGATGAATATGAATAAACTAGAAAACGTGATAGTGAATTTAAAAAATACAACGAATTCAACCGTAATTTTAATACCATTCAAACAATGCAAATTGCCGCAATGTATATGTATGTATTATAAGCTCGGTTGTAAGGTGCGGCATGGCGCCCCAAATGCCAAGGGTTGAAATACAACGGGGGGTGTAAAAATAGGGCGGAATGTTGAGGGGCGAACCTTAATGGTTCTGAGTCACGAAATCAGCACTGAAATTACTAGCGATTTCGTGAAAGGCGACGTGTAGACTCGCGAAATGTGTTTCACAACACGCCATGGGAAATCCTAGTTCTGTGTATATAAAAACTATGTTAAATTATACCTATTCAATATTGAAATGAAAATTCATTTGAATATTGTTTAAATAAAAATATTTCAATACTTCATTGTACATTGTACATTTCGTATATAAAGTGTACTTTTTGACATTATTCTCAGTGTTTGAGGACAAAGAATATTATTTGATCTAAAATACTCTTAAGTTGAAAACATCAAAATGTAATTGATATTTTAAAGCTGTATCTAAATTATCGGATTGTCGATAATCTCATTCTCACGGATCGTTTGGAGCCTCTGGGTCTGCGGAGGGACCTCGGCTCCCTCCGTATTTTGTACCGTATGTTCCATGGGGAGTGCTCTGAGGAATTGTTCGAGATGATACCGTCATCTCGTTTTTACCATCGCACCGTACGCCACCGGAGTATAGTTCATCCATACTACCTGGAGCCACTGCGGTCATCCACAGTGCGTTTCCAGAGGTATTTTTTGCCACGTTCCAAGCCGTATGTGAAACTCCGAAATCATTATTCATTTTAGGGATTTGATTCAATTAACTTTAATTTATATATTACAAGAAACTCTTGAAACCAAAGGTTCGCCATCTACTGTATTTCGATGTCACGATTACAGAAATCTACCCGAAGTGTCAACAGCAACTATTCTGTGTTTCATCACAATGCATAATTGACATTACTGGTGGTAGGACCTCGCGTGAGTCCGCACGGGTAGGTACCAGCACCCCGCCTATTTCTGCCGTGAAGCAGTAAAGTGTTGCGGTTTGAAGAGCGGGATAGCTGTTGTAACTATACTGAGGCCTTAGAACTCATATCTCAAAGTGGGTGGCGGTATGTACGTTGTAGATGTCTATGGGCTCCAGTAACCAATTGAAACCAAGTCCACTAGTATAGATTATAAAAAAATAAAGAACAGATTTATTTTAATTAAATACAAATACAAGAGTTGTTATTAAATCACTAATTGCTTTTTTGGTTTATTGATCTTTTACAAAACGGAAATAAATAGTTTCACTTTAATTATTGTTAAGATCCATTAGTACCTACTAATATTTCTGTGCGAAGTGAAAATCGTCTATTACTATTAGTCTAAAATCTGTACTGCGATATCTAGACGATTTTATTCGCGTGCTGGAGAACTTGACGTATCAAGTTGGTTGCGTGAAGAAAAGAAGACTAATCGGTGGTTTCCGAGTTCCATAACTTTACGTCGCATTGTTTGTTTCATGGAATTCTTATTTTTACCAATTGAGTTACATGCAAGTACAATTACTTTTAAATATATGTAGCTTCATTTATGACTTAAAAATAATCAAAATTGTGAAAACAATTTGATTTGGGAAGGTGTCTAAAATCCAAAAAAAAACATAAATTAAGTATTGTCCGTTCTGGTAGCAGGATCTATTAATTGTCTTTGTAATTTTTACTACTATAAAATATCGTGAAAAGAAAAAACCATAATACATAAGATACTGCTACACCGGTAAATGCTAATTTATCGGCAATCGTTGAGGCTTCTTGATCAGGAATAGCGAAGACTTCGGGCCACTTTGTAAAGTAATCCATCACCACCATGAAGTACTTGTTTCCACTATCGCTCTCTGGGAGCGGTCCGGCAACGTCCAGTGCGATTCTTTCCCACGGAGCTCCTACGTTGTACAGTTTCAAGTTGTACTTTGGTGGAACATTTATTTATCCCGAACCCCAGCGCGTAACAATATATTGAAATCGCTTAACTTTCTTGCGTCTTTTTTTATGCTTAGCTGGTGTTAAGTGGTTGCTGGAGCCAATAGATATCTATAATGTAAATACGCCACCCACCTTGAGATATAAGCTCTAAGGTATCAAGTATAGTTACAATGGCTGCCCCACCCTTCAAACCGAAACGCATTACTGCTTCACGGCAGAAATAGGCAGGGCGGTGGTTCCTACCGGTGCGGACTCACAAAAGATCCTACCACCATCCGTCTTTTCAAAGTCGAACCATAGCGTCTACATGGATCGACTTTGCATACATATACATCTTTTTGAGTGACTTGTGAACTTGATTTAGAAGTTATTAATAATTTTCATTCAGTTGCGGAACCGTGTAATAAATAATCAAAAATAAGTTTCTCCTACCGTATCTTCTCCATGACTAGTTAAAGCTTTGAAAAAGTATTCCTCGGTCATTTCAAGCCCCGTTTTACAATTATTTTCCCAATATATTAGAGTAACCCTCTAACAATAAGCAAATAAAAAGATAATCTGCCATTTCCTTCGGTTTTTCCGAGTCGTAAACAAAATTACTTTTACGGTTCAATCTTGCGCGCTTATTATTGTTATTATAATCGTGAATCGTGAAAGGCTATTTTGTTTAAGCGATATTTTTGCAACTTTACAGAATAGCCAATTAAAGCTTAAAAATTTGGAAAAGATATCAAAGCAAAAAAACTTCTTCCGCTATATGAATGGGGTAAACTTAATTGAAATTCAGTTAAAAACATCTTCGTTGATACTAATAGCAAATAAAACGGACCTTTAAATTACAAAGATAAATGTCGCGTATTAAGCGAAATGTCGCTTTATTTTTTTTTTTTATAACAGCGAGAGGCAAACGAGCAAGACACTTAACATTTAATCGCTTAAACCAGATAGCCTTTCACCCCTCTAATACTACAGTTTTCGTGAGAGGACTAGTCTAAGTTTAAACGGTTAAAAGTAGTTTTAAAGAAACCCTAAATGATATTGGCAAATCAGAATTCTTTACAATTTGATCTGCCTCTCAAGCTTTTACTAGTGAATAGACCTCATTAAAATAGCCAACGGTACTAAATGAAATATATACCTATCTCGAATAGCAGATAAATCACACCGAGACTTATATAGCACGGAAAGTAAAACCCAATAAAATTAACCCATGTTTATATAACATGAAAACTTTTAGCCGCTCCCCAAGCTTGCACGCGATGCAGCCGCGCTCAGAACTTTCCTTAATAGCTTTTGCAAACTTAATCCACTTTGGTTTTAAGGGATCACACTACACATCGATGTTAGACGTTAGTTCAATATTTTGATGTTAACTTTACAAAGTTCAAAGGAATTATTGTGATTTGATATTAATGGTATTATTCAATTACAGTGAAAATTAAGGCCTCCCATTTTGCTAATTATTCAAATTTTAGAAATCAATCTCAAATAGTTTGTGGAAGCGGTGAAAATGTATTTCAATCGCGAGTTAAATCTTAAAATAATTAAACTAGAATATTGTTAATACTTAAATTTTTAATAAACTTTACATGCAAAAATATCAATATTCAAAATTTTAGTACCTATCGCTTAGAACGATGATAAATTAGAACTAAATACAATTAGGAACAAGGGAAATCGGACTTTAAGGTTGTATTATATTTCCAATGTCGAGTATTATGAGCGCTAAATAATTAGATATATTGGCAGGGCTGTACGGTATTTCTGAATTAGCAGATTTTTTCAATTCAATTCACTTTACGTCCTTACCACTAGGAAATCCATTTTGAAATTGCTAAGGGTTGTTCAATCAATCAAGCCCAATTTGTAGCGTATTTCTTATAACATTGTATTCAATCAATTTATTGAAATATCCTTAGAAGCAAAATAATTGACATATGTATATTCTTCAAAAACTTGACAGTTTAATGAGAACAGATTTATTTTAAACCAGAAGTAATTATGATCACATTATAATATTCGTTCGTTTTTGTAGTAATTGGAAGTCAATTGAACTAGGGAATTCATAATAAATGTACATACTGGCTACTGCCATGGTTTTGAAGAAAATTTCAAATTTAAATTTACAATTAACGTATTCTGTGATTATTATTTTACCGGACAAATTTTAACATACTATTTCTTTTTTGATTTCCAGGTGATCATGGAAGCTTCGTCATCAGACTACAGTGATGAAGAAGTGGGGGTGATAGCCCAAGGTCAAAAACTCTGGGTGAGGGGAGTCAGGCAGCACACAACCTGCGCTGATATTGTCCGAGCACTACAAGATGCCCCTGAAGGTTTGTTTGTCTAATTTAATAAAATTATATTCGAATTAACTATTAACTGATGTATTTTTATTCGTTTAGCCAATAATGGCACCAAAAAACATCTTATTACTTTGCTGACATAACTTTAAGCGGACATGAACACACTTGCAAATTAAGTTTCTAACTGCTTTCAGAAAATCTAATAATGATTAAGGTAAACCCAAAAACCGCTATTGCTGGACCACGAGCTAATTAATACCATGAGCTAATTAATTATTAAACAATATTCTTAAACACAATATACATCAAAATATTATAAAGATACATTTGCAATATGCACATTAACTGACATGAACAAGGCAGTATCATATCCTAGACTACTATTTGAATTTCATTCTTTTTTTTTCAAGCAGTGTATGGAAAGTTTTACACGTAATGTAATTACGCTTTAAAAAATATGGCATACAGTTTCCCTAAAATGATGATAGACGGAGATAAAATAAACCTCCATTTATTGTCATGCGCTATTAATGAATGAGCCTCCTGATGTGAAATGAACCCAATAAATTCTTGCAAATAGACGAATCGGAGACGGATTTTTGTCTAAACTTGCCCGGTCATCGTCCTCGTCGAACCCGTCGCTTGCGACGAAGGGCTCAACGAGTAAATTAACCCTCAGACACAGCCCACTGAGTTTCTCGCCGGATCTTCTCAGTGGATCGCGTTTCCGATCCGGTGGTAGATTCTGCGAAGCACGGCTCTTGCTAGGGTTCGTGTTAGCAACGTCATCAGGTTTGAGTCCCGTGACCTCACCTACTAGTTAAGGCGACCCCGATATAGCCTCTCAAGGCTATCAGCTTAGGTAGGATAAAAAAAGAGGTCTAAACTTGCATTGTCTTCCTCATAGCGGGTGGTATGAGTGACCAGGGTGAATGGGTGCTAGCAGAGCGGTGGCGAGGGGTAGAGCGACCTTTGCCCCCTGACGCACCTGTTCTGCACATTTTGGCGGCTTGGGGAGATGCTAGGCATGAGGTATTTCATTTAATACTGTTTTAATGCTAATTTTTACTGGTGATAGGACCTCTTGTGAGTCCGCGCGGGTAGGTACCACCACTGCGCGGGTGGGTAGCCGTTGTAACTATACTGAGAACTTATATCTCAAGGTGGATGGCGCATTTACGTTGTAGATGTCTATGGGCTCCAGTAACCACTTAACACCAGGTGGGCTGGGAGCTCGTCCTCCCAACTAAACAATAAAAAATAAAAAATAAATTGACATCTCTAGCTAATAGTCATTTTTTATGGCGTCACGTATGCAAATCTACAGTTTGATTTATTGGTTTATCGTTTCAATGCTTGACTTAAAATTGGAATATTTGGCCTTGGATCAAAATAATTGTATATCAATTAATAGAAGAGTTAGATGAGCCTTACGTGTACTTACTATTTGATGTACTTAATGCCACAGACGATTTATTTAATGTTGAACATAAAAGTCCTTAAATCTCTATTATTAACTTGTTATTTCTCTGTAATTTTACGTTCCTAAATTCAGTATATTATGATAAGACAACAGGTACCACAAAATTAATTAATTCTGATTTCAATTATTCTAGGTTCGGTTGTCGTTGCGTCGTTTATCAAGCGGAGGAGAAGATGACTCGGGAAGGGATAGCGATGGCGGGAGTAAGGGATCCAGAAGACGTCGACGGAGAGAACCCAGAACAGCCACTCCTCCTCCAAGAGCCAAAAGCGAAGACCCTGCCGCCAGACTCGTGTCTATTATACAATATCAGAGCAGAACCATACACCAACAACTCGACAAGTTAAGGTATGAGATTATAATATTATTATTATTATATTCATAATTGTAAATTTTACTTGTAGACAGAATTACAGGATGCAATGATTAATGGAACATCATTAACATTTGACTTAGTTCCAGACATTATTTTTAAAGGCCCTTCTTGATTCTCTACATTATTGCAGATTACAATTTAAGTATTTTTTTCTCGCCAATTAATATTCTAAATTTGGAAATATCTATTTTTTAGAGAGCAAGAAAAACTGATAGACCACCTTGAAGATCAAACTCACAAGAGTCGAATGGAGAAACACGGAACTAACTACCTTCTGGAATCTTATCTTCGCGACATTGGAAGGTGTAGTGAAGTTAATGACAGTCAAGCGGGCAACAGCGACAGCGGCGTCGGTGTCGGCAGTGGCACGCCGCCGAGACGACATACGAAACACAAATCCCGAAGAGAAAGACACCTCATGAGAGAGCACTATTTCACTAAAGAGTTAACAAACATCTGCCAAGTCAATTCTGAAAGACTAATGCAGACACATACCGACACAGATTCCGATGCATCGGCAGACGACTTGACCAAGATAAGAGAAGAAATAGAGCTACTAGAGAAACTAGCGATCATAAACAAGAGATTGCACCGCGAGGAAGAACTAGTGGTGAGACTCACGGCAAAAGTCAAAAGATACACTGAAGAAAACAAAGCGAATAGCTGCGAGAGTGTAGCGCAAGTGATGATGCTTCTAGATAAAATAGACAACGAATTAGGAACAACAGCAAAGGAGATGAAGGATAACGCTTTAGAATTAGAAAAGACAGAGAAGGAATTAGAATGTCGGGTGAAACTTTTAGATGAACTCACTTTAGAACTGGACGAAGAGGAATTGCAGAATGCTGTTTTGGAAAGACAATTGAACGAAGCTTCCAGCCGACAGCCAATCCTCCTTCAAGATAGTTACGTACCGGTTTTAGAGCAGCCAAATTTCGGATATGTTCTGGACACTCTTGTATGATAGTAATTGAACAACGAACTTTGACCCAAAGATACATTTCAAATTACCATACTTATTTACTGAGTTAGGATTATTTACCCAAAATCCCAATGTTTATTTACCAAGTGTATATTCTTTTGTATATAATATTAATTACGGTGCTCACGATCGAACCCCACTGCGAAGTGTAATCAAACAGAATTATTTAATTATATATACCGTTATTTTAGATCTCTGATTTTATATGATAGAAATTTTTAGAATAACTTTTATAAAATAAACCAGTTGACGACAATAAAAATGATTACAAAGTAATTAGACTAAAGATCCGATTCTACTTTAGGTATTAAACATGATTAAATTACGATGCCAAATATATATTAAACCACCAAGTTATAGTAAGCTAGGCCTAGTCAACATTCGAATCAATAACTGTTAGCTCATTTTTTACTTTTCATAAACATTAATCGTACAAAGTTTTACATAAGGCAGTCCAAAGGTCTATACAATCAATGTTCGAAATTTTCTCAGCGAATTGTTATTAAAATAAAATGTCATCTGGATGCTGGATGGCAAAATTAATGCTACGGAAATAATTAAAGCCAGGCATTATAGAAATTGCAAATGTCACTCTACTACGGACGGAGCAAAAGTCGTTCAATTTTCGAACATTTAAATTGTGCCCTTGTTGCAATATTTGTGTAGAATAATGAATAAATTGAATAGAAAAATGTAATGTGTCATAAGAGTAAGGGCCAAACCTGTTCGATAGAGGCCGTTGACCTCCAGGTCAACTCATGTTACATTGCATGCAGTAGTACTTAACAATGCCGTAACGGAACTTAATAAACTCGCAAGCCGTTCTATTCATATAGTCTTGTGGCGGATTGTAAGAGCAATACAGCCATTGGCAGCGACTTCTACACAGATTGATATAGTCTGTGGTAAAGGAAAGGAAAAGCCCGCCAAAATTTAAACGTGTCAATTTACATTCGTAATATTCTAATTGTAAATGTTATCTAAAATATTGTTATTTCACGTTAGATACTTGCAAATAATTCTGTTGTCTAATTAAACCTTGACATATATGTGTTACGTCGACATACCCCCAAAGTCTCATTTTTATTGTAATAACATATTTGACTGACTTCTTATAAAGGCTTTATAAAGCTCCGATAACTAATATGAATCAAACCAATATTATTATTAAGTATCACCAGCATCTATTTTCCTTTTCGGGATCAGTTGGAGTGTAATCATGTTTATTTTATTAAAATGAGCTATCATATTCTGTAACCATAATGTTATTCTTGGTGCTATAATTATAATACTTTAATATTAGAAAATTTCAAACAATATGTAACAAAACCGTCCAAATATTTTATGTTAAGTAAAGTGTATCGAAATCTTGTATAGAATAAAACAAAGATTTATAAAGACGCATTTATTTTATTTTACCGATACATACACAGCAAATAATTAAAAGACAAAAAAACTATTACATATTTTCTTTATGAGAGTGCCTTGACCAGTGCCCAGAAATTATTGCTTTTTTTTCTGACAAAATGAAGCTTGAATCTTTTTGCTTGTGGTGAAGCTGAATTCTTAACATATATAATACTATCATAGAAAATAAAACCAATTTTTCAACAATACACTTCAATATAAGATGAGAGTCAACAAATACCCGTTGCTATTCCCAAAGATAAATTTGCAAAATAAAACTGTTCGTCGCTCAGATCATCCGATATTCTATTCAGAGTAAATGTAGTATAATAATGCTCTCTTAAGTCATGCTCTGTTGAATTGTTTTTGAGAGAAGTGGTTTCATTTTTATAATTATTTTTTTAGGTTTATTTGACAGACTTAATGTTTTCTAAGTTACAATGGCGTGTAGTTAAAACTATATTATCCACTGAAAAATGCTTATCGAATATAGTTAATACGTAAACTTACGTAATATTTCCGAAATGCACTAGATTCAAAGAGCAAAATGAAACAATCAAAAGGCATTTTAATTTTCCCAAAATATGTCAAACTTCAAATTAATTATTATAAGAATGGTATGTACAGCAATCATAATTTTATATATATTGCTAATTAGGACTGGAAAGTTCCCTGTTTAAATTTAATCGAAGGCAAAATTACGGGTGAAACAACTCTAGTATTACTATTTCAGAAATTATATCACATCCTCTATTAGAACTTTGAAATTTGGTTGAGATTCATTGAATATCCAAATCATTTTTAATAGGCTGATTGACTATTCCCGAGAAATATCTCCAAATATAATGTTCCGCCCTATTTCTGCCGTGTAGCAGTAATGCGTTTCGGTTTGAAGGACGGGACAGCCGTTGTAACTATACTGAGAACTCATCTCAAGGTGGGTGTTGGCGTTTTAGATGTCTATAGGCTCCGGTAAGCACTTAACACCAGGTGGGCCGTGAGCTCGTCCACACACCTAACAATAAAAAAATAAATATAAAAACCAAAACGCGCTAAACTGTCCTGGTACGCCGTCATGCTTATCAAATCAAAGAGGCATTTGGAAGTTTCGTCTAATTCATGAATTAAGACAAATTTTCGACCGGTCAAACGATGTCTTTATCCATTTTTTAATACGCTTTTATTAGCTTCAGACGGATGTATGTTTGTAACGGAATCTTTGAAGATGATTTTGACCCCATTCGGAACGTGGATTAACTCGAAATTTGGTATACTTATTAAGGACCGCTGACAATTCAATATTTAAAAAAAAAACTGGAAAAAATATATTGAAAAAGTTGAAATTTAACTAAAAAATGAAAAATAAATAATAGTTTAAAAAAAATAACAATATAATGTTTTATAGAAAATCCAACTAAAAAAGAGAAAATAAATTTTTAGATATTTTATGAACAGATATGAGCAGATGGGTTATTTTGATAATATCCTGAAAAGCACCCCACGCTTTTTTACAATAAAATGATTTTTTCTTACACTATTTTTAAATCAAATTTATTAAAATTTATTTTCTATTTTTTAGTTGGATTTTCTATAAAAGCGTATTTTGTTAATTTTTTTAAACTATTATTTATTTTATTTCATGAAAATAAACCACAATGTTATTATGTTACAATAATACCTCAAGTCAAAAATTTGCAATTAATCCGAGCACTGGCCAAGGCATTCCTTTAAGAGAAAAAACAAAAGAAGGTAGATGAACGTCCGCAGTGAACCGGCGTGCATAATTTTTGAATGTTACCGGATATATTGTATCCGTGTTCACACCGTCATCTGCGGAGCTCTGGAGTCGCTCTGAAGTTACTCCGTTTCCATTGCCACCTAGAAAGAAAAAAAAACATTTTTTTTAATATTACAAAAACCATAAAGCATAAGCAGATTTTTTTCCCCAATTGGTTCTCAAATTATGTTTTGTTTGAGGTTTTAATTTATTTTCATTAGATTGTGTATTAGGAAGCAATATATTGTACTTTATTTTAAAAAATAAATAAAAATAAGATAATATAGTTATTTATACATTTAAGATGATTAGAAAACATCCTACTAAACTTCCTGATATCTTGTCAAGAAAAGCAACTTTAACGAAAGTTTTTAAACCCAAAGAGATCTAGCAGGCCTCAAGCCACGTTGTACTGGTCTAAAATAGACTTAGGCCTGACCTTTCTGTGGTGCGGTGGCCGGCCGGTAACTTCATTTAGATTTTTAGACTAGGAAAGAGATAAATATATCTCTCAGACGTCCTATTCAAACAGAAACAGGATTGTACAAATTATAAACAATTATGCTATTTGTTTATCAAAGGAATACATTGCAAAATATATTTCGTAAATAAGTTTTATAACAAATGTGAAAGATTATTTTAAAACGTTAATTTATCTAGTAATATTCTAGTGATCGAGTCTAGCAATATTAATTTCAATGAAATAATGTGCTGTTTATATTATTTTAACTGTTTAAACACTGGCTACATTTAGCGCGTGCATACGAATTCCGCGGTTTCGTAATTGTAAAACAACACTAGGATCGTTTTGAGATATCTATTACAAACGATTATTTTAGCGAAACAAAAATACGGCCGTATTTAAATGTATTCATACGTTATTAAAAAAAAAGAATCCAGTTGAGAAGTAGATAGGGCAATAGGATATGTAGATTTCGATATAACTATTATTATATGAGTGTTTTCAGTCGGAACTACAATTGTTCTTTTTCTGTATTCGATTCGGAGTATTCGGAATTTTTCTTAACGAAAAAACTATGATTTTTAGAAATAATAAAAAAAATCTTCTATTAAAGCAACGCCAATTGTAGTATACCTTTTTCTTTTACTAATTAATCGGCGTTGTGGAGTGCCACATAATAACGGAAGGGGGATCCTCTGTCTCATCGCTTTCTTTATCAACGTCGGGCAGGGTGGTTCTCTTTCCAGGATCGGGGCGGATAACGTTTTGCGGCAGATCATCGAGACCAGGATAAAACGCCCATTTTTGGTACAGATCCAGAGCAAGATCTATCGGGTTAACCGCAGGTCGATGGATAGTGTCGAAAGTCACAAACAGAAATTTATACTCGACTGTGGATCGAATCATATCCCGAGCAGTTTTCTCGTCGAAGACTTCGCGTTTCGTTTTGGCATCGAGGGCAACATCCAAGAACTTTGTCCATCTAGGAATGTAATAATAGTGGAATAGCTCAGCCCATTGTTTGCATGCATAATCTGTTATTTCCCCGTTAGGGCCCCACAGAGTTATTTGATTGCGAGCATTCAAACTATATGAATACGATTCTATTGGTGTTCTCGCGAAATTCTCAGCTTTAGCGATCCAATCGGCTGCACCGAAAAATGTATTTGTCCGCAATATCGATTCTATATCAATCATGGCATCCAGAAATTGTTGTATCGCTTCTTTGAACAACAAAGTGTTGGAAAAGCGAGCGCTCTGCATATTTACGTACAGTTGTTCCGCCCTGTACTGTAACGCTTGCCTTGTAACATCAACAATATCATATAGAAATCCATCGGAGTAACAATCTGTACTCGTGACAAACTTTTTCAAAGCCTGGAATAGATCGTAACTTTTGTACCAAGCCCATGGCTTAATGTTGAAACTGGGCCTACGAGTGATTACGTACTTCCCTCGGACTTTGTTCAAGCCATTGAAGCTGTATACGCTTTTTAACAGATACCGCCAAGCGTCTGTTGTTGTGTTGCAACCGTACCTTCGCTCCGCGTATTCTCCTGCCCAAGTATCGAGATTTTCTACGGGTTTCTTACGCCAAGCTGACTCCAACATTAAATCGTAAACTACATAATTCTGATTTATTCCTTCAGGGGTAAGGCCGACGCCAATCATTGTGCTATTTGCGAGGGCCCGTGCATAATACACTTCTTTATTGATCGTTATCATGTTACCNGTGTTGCAACCGTACCTTCGCTCCGCGTATTCTCCTGCCCAAGTATCGAGATTTTCTACGGGTTTCTTACGCCAAGCTGACTCCAACATTAAATCGTAAACTACATAATTCTGATTTATTCCTTCAGGGGTAAGGCCGACGCCAATCATTGTGCTATTTGCGAGGGCCCGTGCATAATACACTTCTTTATTGATCGTTATCATGTTACCAAACATCCCTAAAGTTCCGCCAAAATTGTGTAACATGCACCATATGAATGGTTGACCGAAATACATCTCGTAAAGTTCGTATTGTGGCCACTGCTCCGCTTGAAGGTCCAGTACCAACATTCTACCATTCGGCACTGACGTCATAAATGACCGTACCCTAGATTTAGGCCATTGTAACGGATCGCTAACAAACATCCAATTCTGCAATAACCAGACAGCTTCGTCATCGAATTCTAATAATGTCGAGAATATAGATTTGGCCGTTTGCACAACCAAAGCTGTTGACCATTGTTCAATTTTAACCTCGTTAAATGGGTCCGAAGAGTAAATGTGACTCGTGGCTGACAAACTGCCAGTTTCTTTTAAAAACATTTTCCCTATTATTTTAAACAGTGGTTCATTCGGATCTACGAACAAGCCACAACAATGTTCAGCGTCAAATTTATTCCACGTATCGACGTCGTGAAAAGTTACATTCGGAAATATTCGTGCAAATGCCTTCGGTACGTGACCATTGAAAGCCGGGAAGACCGGTACAATGCCAAGCTGGTACATGTAGTCGATTACGGAATCTTGAATTTCTCTTTGTTTGTCGTTCCATGACTTGAGGAGTGGTCCACCCCAGCCGTGTACATTCCCCATACGAAGCCAAGCCAAAAACGCGGGACCGGTAAAATGCTCATCTATTTCGTCGTCCGTCATTCCGAGGCTGCGATAGACGCGAGCCCAAGCCGCTTCCTGTGCAACTGGCGCTAAAGCTAAGTTAATACCATTCAGTGCCATCCATTGGACGTGTTCGACCCAATCGTTTGTCTGCCACCAAACGAATGAATAAGACGCCGTGCACACGTTTTGATAGTAGCGAAATCTATCATTAGAAACGACAAGTTCGTCGACTTCTGGGAGCGGTTCCGGCACCACAACTCGTTGAACTTGCCACGCTATTTGACTCTTGCAGTATTTTTTCAAGTAGTAATTAAATCCCCATAAAGCCGCCACACCGGTTGTCGCGCGTATGTGTAAAAGTCCTTGAACCGTGCGCAAGGAAAATACATCCTTATTGTCTTTAAACAATAGAGGGTTTATCTCGACTACAACTTTAGTCGTATATTTTGAAATAATTTGAGTGGCGGCATTTTGTTGTGTCGCTGGCGGCGCGATAGTTTGTAACTTTACTGGGTCCAAGTAATCGAGATTCAAACTGTATGAAAACACTGATTTTAATAAAACAACAAGCAGTATCGTGTACTGCATTGTAGCGCGGAGCGTCGCTCACTGACGCGAGTTTATTTTTAATAGGATTCAATAGGGGCATTACTATACAATGGACAATAAGTGAGCGACAAGAAAGTGAACATTGACCCCCGCCAAGAGATAAGAAACCCAAAGCATACTTCGGATATTTTTAATCAGTTTTAAAAACTGTGTGACATTCACCATGTGAGAATAGATAAAATGTAATAGTTATATTATTATTTTTTAACCATAATCGTCATGTTCTGTAATCAGACCAAAGTTATTATTAAGAGTCTGATTCGAATTTAAATTATTCACTTTAAATCAAATGTCTTTGAAACGGTGATTGTTGAATGCCAACACGTTATCTCTACAATGGGTTACCAAAAAAGCGTTTTGTAAAAAAGCATCATCATCTTTTTTTTTTTAGCTGAGTCTTGAGAGGTTATTTGAGCGTAACCTTAACTAGCAGGTGAGCTCACGGGGCTCAAGCCTGACGACGTTGCTAACACGAACGCTAGCAAGGGTCGTGCTTCGCAGAATCTACCACCGGATCAGAAACGCGACCCACTGAGAAGATCCGGCGAGAAACTCAGTGGGCTGTGTCTGTGGGTTAATTTACTCGTCGAGCCCTTCTTCGCAAGCGACGGGCATCATCATCATTTTCAGCCCTTTGATACCAATTACGGGGTAAAGCCCTCTTCGTTTTGTGCCATAATGTACGATAGTTCGCCATTCTCATTCACATCTGCCCCACCGTTTTGATTATGTCATCGCACTACTATGCTAAAGGACTTCGGGTACGTCTATGAGCTTGGCCACCATTCCGTCAGTCTTACTCCATCTATTATCATTTCGTCCTGCCAAGTCTTCAGCCCAACTCCATTTCGGATCTGCTACTCTCTAACAAATATCTATAATATTGTTTGGCTTCTAATGTGGGTAGTATAGACCCGATTGCTAGCTTAGTGTTTCATCGCTTACTTTGAAACGCCCATTCTATACACGGTCTCACCAGTAAGGAACCATATTTCAGCGCCGTATGTTAATGTGGGCTAAATACATTGACTGTAGAGTTTTTGTGTTGAAACATTGTGGGATGTTTTTTTGATTTATTTAATTATTTGTAACTTTATATACTAGACAGTATAAAGGCGGACTTAATGCCATGCGCATTCTCTGACAGTATACCTTAGGAGGTGCAGAGATGAACCTTGGTAGGTGTAGTGTGAAGGTGATATTACTTAAACATATGTGTATATATAACATACATAATATTTATAGATATAAATACATATACATACATATATAGCAATTAGATGACTCTGCTAACTCTCTGAGAAACAGTTCTCGAACCTTCGTCTTAACGCTTCACGTGTAGTGGCCCACCTTATTTTGAGTGGGAGCGCATTCCATAGAAGAATAGACTAAATAGTGAAGGAAGAATGTAAAAAGTCAGAACTATGTGGAGGACAGCGAAGAAGAAGATTGTGAGATGATCGAAGATTTCATATATTATGATGATTTAATCTATATATATAAAAGAAAGTCGTGTTAGTTACACTATTCATAACTCGATAACGGCTGAACTGATTTTGCTGAAAATTGCTGAAGAGGTAGCTTAGAACCAGGAGAAGGACATAGGATACTTTTTATCAATTCCCATGGGACGTGACATAAATCGTGGTATGACAAAACGCAACTGATATGGAATAACAAAACGCAACTGACAGCTAAACGTAATATATTCTATGAGTAATTATAGTAGAATTTTGAAGTTAACCGGTTGATGTGTGTGAAACAAACCGTGTGGCGGAACAAAGTTCGCCGGGTCCGCTAGTATATTATAAAAAAAATAGAAACATAAAATGAACCAATCCAGTGCCGACACGAAATTCCGAAAACGTGCCGTCTGTTAGGAATTCATTGACTTCATAATACACAAAAGTAGCTTGATTGTCTTCATAAATTTAGTTCTCTATATAGAGAATTGAATGTTTTGTGCGATTTTGTTGTAAAGGCAAGGCCCGAAAAAAAGGTTATCATTAAGGTAGCTCAACTATAGCTGATTCTACTAATAAATTATATCTAATTCGCACATTAAAACTGAATCAGACTTAACACTTAAAACCCAAGGATTGGCCAACACAATGACACAATGATTACACAACATTACAAAAAAAAAATCGTTCTATGTCCTAACGTTTATACTAGGTTTTACTGGTTAATTATTCACAAACACGAAAATAAAATACCTTTTTTGGTATAGAGTTTGCTTTTGTGATAGTTATAGTAATAATATCTACTCATTTTGAAATTTTTTTTTAATACTTCAAAAAAACCGCGCTATGAGAGTGGGGTGTTTACGTTTACACAGTGCCACTAGATGGCACTCGAGTCATAAACAACGATCAGGTGTTTTGTACAAGCCCAGAAAAACTTAAAATGTCACGAAAGTGTAAATACGATGCTGATGCATTTTGTTTCATATGTGGTCAATTTATTAAAGTTCAAAAGCAAACTGTTTCATGCCATGTATTTTTTTTTCGTCTTATTATGATCTAAAATATCGAAATTTTATGCTTTGCAATCAAAGTCAAATTTGGTGTTCACCCGTGTTATTGATTAGTTTTAGTATAGTGGCTACACTAATTTTTTTAATTCAGTAATTTCATAAGTTAATATTATGAAAACAATAACAGTGTGATTGACTAATCTTTTTAATTTAGTTAAAAACACTTATTATTTTGTTTGTTATTTTAATACCGTTGCAGATCAACAATAGTGTGTCCTGGGTTTTTTCTACACTATATATTTCACGGTAAGAAATATAACCAGAAAACGCTTAAATAACTGAGAGCAATTACGCTGAGTCCTATGCCTATTATCATCCACTGGTATTAGTGGGACACTGATACTTACAGGTAGAGACAACCCTCCTGCTTATTTTTGCCGCAAGGTTACAGTTTGAAAGGCAATACAACAATTTTACAATTATATTGTGATTTCATTGTATTTACAGTGTTCTCTATGGGTTCTGGTAATCATACAACATCAGGTGATCCATTAGTCATTCAGAAATTTAGTGGAAACAAAATTTAATATAATGGAACAGTTATTTTGGGTTGACTTCCACAGTAATGGAATAACACAGTGTAATAAAATCTAACCCGCAAAATTATAATTTGCGTAATTACTGGTGGTAGGACGTCTTGTGAGTCTGCACGGGTACCACCACCCCGCCTATTTCTGCCGTGAAGCAGTAATGCGTTTCGGTTTGAAGGATGGGGCAGCCGTTGTAACTATACTGAGACCTTAGAACTTATATCTTAAGGTGAGTGGCGCATTTACGTTGTACATGTCTATGGTCTCCAGTAACCACTTCACACCAGGTGGGTTGTGAGTTTGTTCACCCATCTAAGCAAATAAAAAAAAGTTACTATTTAGACTTGTATAGTGAAAAGATTGGTATATTTACCGCCGCTTGTGGGTCCCGGTCGTCCCCCTGGTCGCGCGGGGCGGCGCCTCCCGGAGCGCCCGCGTCGCCGGTGGCGGTGCCGCCGCGTCTCTCTTCACCCTCGACCAGAGCTAACAGACGAGATAACTCTTCCTCGTCGCATATACGCAACGGAGTCTTGGGACCGACGATACATATAGAAACATTCTGTAACATCACATTACATACAATTAGCAATTACATAACGAACTGTAGGATAATGTGCATGTAAAGCGCTAATGAGTTTCAAATCTCAATAACACTATCTTTGTTAACAATTCATTCGGTAACATGTCTTTTATGAGTGGAATGCAGATTTAATCCTCTACCACTATCTTTATTAAAGAAAAGAAAAGAATCCCAGCTCAGGATGAATTAATGTTAGATTTTTTTTAAATATGAGTTACGAGTTCTCATGTGCTCATATTGAACTGAATTTAGGCATTCATTCATTAAACTGGCAACTGTTACATTAAAACTAATGGCTCGCTAATGAGCTATACCAAGACTTTCTCAGTTAGGCCATGCTGGTCATTTATAGTGCTAAAAAAGTTAGAGAGAGAGAAAGAGAGACAACAAAAGAAACAATGCGAAACATTAAATACAAAAAACGTAGAGTTGGCTCTCTCATCGCTAAGAGCGATCTCTTCCAGACAACTATTAGGTGGAAAAGAATCGTTTGGAAACTAATTACATGCGGGAAACCAATCAATTGAAATATATATATGTATTTACATACCCACACGTACATACATATACATACACAATTCCTTACATATATACATTTAATACAATAAAAGTGGTAACCTTTGTGTTTAGATCAACTTCATTTGGCAGCGTATCCCGTAGGGCTCTAAGACCGTGAGCTACTAGCTCTTGAAGGTCACAATCCATGAATGTATTGAGATGCTTCTCAAGATAGGTACGCGCTGACTGCGAACGTGCTCCGATTGCCATCGCACGACAATCAAAGTAGTTGGCTGACGGACAAGTCTGGTAAATATGAGGTCCTTGGTCCTGTCGAAATCAGCAAAGACATGATAAGTATCCTTCTTTAATTCTTGACTTCCCTAGTGTTACTTAGATGTTATTAATCAATGTGTTCAACATTACATAGTATAAAACAAAGTCGCTTTCTCTGTCCCCATATCCCTATGTATGCTTAAATCTTTAAAACTACGCAACAGATTTTAATGCGGATTTTTTTAATAGATAGAGTGATTAAAGAGAGGAAGGTTTATGTGTATAATAACATCCATTAAATAGCGGAGAAATCAATAATAAATTACAGTTTCCGAAGCGAAATGAGGGCGGGTGGCTAGTAGTAAATAAAATTCAGTTTGATCAGTTTCTGCGGTAGGCAGCGGCTTGGCTCTGCCCCTGGCATTGCTGAAGTCCATGGGCGACGGTAACCACTCACCATCAGGTGGGCCGTATGCTCGTCTGCCTACAAGGGCAATAAAAAATAAAAAAAACCTTGAATTGGTATATTGTGACCATGATTTTAACTACCTCCTTTGTTTAAGTTATAAGGTATTCGAGGTTGAAGTGAACCTGTTATTTGTGATGAGAGTTCAACCTAATAAATCGAATATGGGAGATTTAAGTTTTTATGATTGTAAATTTATTTTTGTAAGATGCGATAATACCACAAGAACTAATGTATGCATATAGTAAAATTTGTAAAATTATACATAAAGCACCATATTGACATTAGTTTTCTTTGAATGAATGGCATAGCAGTGTTTAAATGTGCTTACTTGTGTACAAGTGCTGGTTAAAAAAACAGTTTTATCCCTCTCTTCTATAATTTTGTATTAATTTCACACACATATTATAGAGCGGTGAAAGGTTATTTATTAGGTTTAAGCAAAATTTTTGAAACATTACAGAAGTGCCAATTAAAGTT